CAATCCCTGCAAAAATAAAGATTAATATTTTGCATAAATAAATAAAATTATAACAGACCAATTAATTCCGAATAAATCCCCATTAATATTTGGACATCAACATTCAACAGGAGCAATCCACAAAGATTAAAAAGAGACAATATGAATCACTACAGCAAAGTAATTAGTAAATTAAACCAAAAAATTACTTTGGCATCTGACAAATGCCATTTTACTTTGAGAAGGAATAGATACAACAATACAGCTTATCCAATTAACAATACAGCTTATTCAATATTTCAATTAACAATTAAGAATTTGGAATTCTGGATAAATGGATAATTATTTAATCTGCAAACTAAGCCATGAAAATCCCAATTAAAAATTATCATTCTTAAAATAAATTATAGAGGTTTCAGAAATCAGAATTCTACAAATTCCTAATGCAGTGCATTCTACAATTATGCAAATCTCAATTTCTAAATGGCCAAATCATAGACTTTTCAACAATACAGTTAACAAATACGGCATAATTCCTAAATCAAAGCTTTCAAAAAAAAAAATCCCAAATCATAAAAATTAAAAATACCTTTGCAAATTACAATTGTAGACCGGAGTGGTGAAGGCGCGGCGAACAGAATCAGGACCGGCTGACCGCAGAGAAGATTTGTTATTTGTGGATTATGAAAGTAGATTGTCGATTCACTCAACTGCCCATTCTTCTCCTCCTAAAAGGTTGAATCCCCAACCCTAAGGGCCCTCCACACCCCTCAATTGCCCATTCTTATTTAGCTTGAGAGGAATTGAACGGTTGCTGTGGCGGAGAGGTATTGAATGGTTGCGACTTGCGATGCGTTGATACCTCTTTTCTTCGATTCTTCCTGAATCTTCCATCTATCCGACTTCCATAAGAATTTTTTAAGTCAAAAATAATTAAATAATTTTTTCTAATATATACTAAGTAATATATACAATATACAATATATTATTATATCTTAGTTTATGGGCCCCCTCTAGGGATGAGCCCTGGGCAGGGGCCCAGCCTGCCCATGCCCCAGGGCCGGCCCTGCTTTAGACTTTAATTTATGTTGTGCACTTTTAAATATCTAAATATTAACATTCTCTAATTTCTTTTACTCTCTCTTTATATATAGATGTCGAGAAATTAAAAAAAAAAAAGTATTAATTAATACAATGATACACTCTCGGAAAAGGGCCGGGGGCCTATAGCTTACATAATTCGGGCAAGATCTAAATGGATATAACATCGTACCATTGAATCTCTTATGTATAGTTATTGACTTAGATTTTTACTCTGTGTATGTATAAATATATTTATAGAGATGAAAACGAGGTTAGATATGAAGAGTTGAATGATTTCAAACATGAGATGATGAGAAGTTGCAAGAGTTAGAAGAAGTCAAGGGATGAGTTTGAGTGAGGTCGAAAAAATTAAAGGTCGTATATTTACTATAGTTCCTAAGTTGTTTGATAAATTCAACATCTTTTATTATTTTTTTTAAAAAAAAAACAATTCAACATCTTTTTGAATTTCTTTTGGTGCGATATTATTTTTAGATCTAGTTACAATATTTAAATTAGAGAGAATGAATGATCACCTCATATTCTTTTCGTATTTGATCTTTTTTCTATGAGAAATTGATTTAATTTGTTATGATCCTTAGCTTGATGATGATGAGCAATTATAGGAGACATTTTTTTTTTAATCCTTGCATTTGAAAAGTAATAAATGAATAAACATTATAGCGTTAATTTATAGCTGCGGCCTGCAGGGTAGGTTTCTTTTTTCTTTTTTCTTTTTTTTTCTTCTTTTATTCTTCTTTTATTCTTTTTCTCTTTTTTCTTTTTGAATAAGTCTACTAATGATGAATTCTTCACATAATTCAAAATATGTTTGAATTTAATTAAATTTAATTTTGTCACTGACGATAAGAGGATGCCTTTGTCCCCCTCGACCCCAATCATTATGGTCCACACAAATTGTGTAGACCATATTTTGTATATTATAAAATAATGTGCATTCAGTACAATAATAATGTACATTCAATACAAAAATAATGTACATTATATTCAGGGAATGTACATTATTTTTGTATTGAGTGTACATTATATTATATAATGTATATTCAGTACAAAAATAATATACATTTAGTATATTAAAAATATATTTTTTGTTATGGTCCATACAATAATTTGCCGTCAACCCCCCAGCCTCCCCCCCTCCCCTTCTAATATCATTCTCATCACATTCAGACAAAAAACTTTTTCTTCTACTTGACCAGTCAACATACCAGCATTTGAGTCAAAGACTAGGTGTGCCTTAAAGGCAAATTATATCGTGCACCCTGATTAAAACGATGTTGTTTTCTATTTTGCCATTAATTTTTAAATTTAAAAAAAAAAATATGTTTTGGATGTATAGAATTGTATAGTATAATACACATAAACTCTTAACATAATACACAGAAACTCTTAACAGAAAACACATAAACTCTTAACAGAATACACATAAAATACAAGTGTTAAAAAATAAAATACAAGTGTTAAAAAAAAAAAGGGGAGTTTAACATAATACCAGAAACTCTTAACAGAATACACATAAAACATAGTGTGTTAAAAAAAAAAAACAAAAAAAAACAAAAAAACAAAAACAAAAACAAAAACAAAACTGTAACGAGATTGAATGGACGGAACGGTGTCCATCGCGTCAACTCCCCACACAACTTATAAAGACGACGTCGTTTTGGATCAGGACACACAATGCATTGTGCGCCCTGGTACACGATATAACAATTGTGCCTTAAGGGCTTCGGCCCCGAGTCAGGGCTTGAACAACTTTATTTGGGCTCCGGCACCTATTGGGTTGGCTTTATTATTTCTTTATTTGTAGCCCAATTGTTAATATTTTCTAGGCCTAGAGTCCAATTAATATTATCCTTGTTTTTTCATCATTCTATATATATACCTCTTGCAATGTTAATAGATTTATACAATCTTTCCCATATAGATTAGAGAAGTGATACCACCCTCTCTAGCTCACGCATAAAACAAGCTGAGAGATGAATTTTAATAACATTGATAGTAATCAAAACTACATTGTTCAATTAGTTATTGCTATCCATTTTCGTCTTTTCGATATCAAATTATTTATCTAGTTCCATTCAAAAAATTATCTCCAGCATTCAATTGGAACTTACATCTTTATTATATTAAAAAAAAAATAGTATACAATATAACAAATATATAGTACAAAATCATTTTTAAATGAAAATGAAATTTAAATTTATCAAATCCACAATCATATGAAATAAAACATTTCAAAGTAATTCAATAATTGTATAGGATTTCACCAACATTTAGTGGAAGAGTTAGAACTTAATGTTCATTTTATATTTCATATGAAATGATGAGAGTCACAACTATTTTGATTTTGATATATATATACAAATGATGCAATATTAACAAGTTCACCTATAGCTAAAGCTCGTTAAAATTTGATGAATTAATCCAAAAAAAATTCGAATACGAGTTTCTTAAAATTGGGAGGGAACTTTATCCTTCCCCACCAAAATAGACAAATTTCATTAGAAGCCGGTAAAATTCTTATTTCCAAAAAACAAAAATATTAATATCGTAAAGTGTTGTGACATCAACAAGCGCCCATGGCCTAATGGATAAGGCGCTTGACTTCTAATCAAGCGATTGTGGGTTCGAGTCCCACTGGGCGTGTTACATTTTGTGTATTAACTTTTTACGTTTGAGTCCAACTGGGCGTGTTAACTCTTTATGTTTTCAATCAGATGTTAAGAGGTATAGGCGCTCATGGTTTAATGGATAAGGCGCTTCGGTCTTTATGTTTTCGATCAGATTGTGTGTTCGAATCCCACTGGCTACTGGGCGTGTTAGCGTGTGCAATTTAATTCAAATCCCGAAAAGAAAGGAAATGCATTATAGTAGGCATCTCTCGCTAACAAGAATTAATTTTAATTCAAATTCCAAAAAAAACATAAATGCATTTATTTAGAGTTAAATGGTGCATTACACAATATTACATATTCGTGGTTTGACTATATATTTATTTTTTTATGGCAAAACAATTTGTGTAACACTATCTCATAGATCTATTTTTGTGAAACGGGTAGTATTGTAAATATATATATATATATATATATATATATATATATATATATATAGATCCTAAATGGCAAATGTAAATTGTACAGTTAGGACATTATGAATGTACAGTTAGGACATTATGAATGTACAGTTATGAAATTATGAACACAGAGCTCTGACATTATGAACGTATAATATGAACATATAGTGATAAAATTATGAACATAGAGCTTCGAAAATTATGAATTTACAGTTATTGAATTATGAATGTACAGTACAGAATTATGAATGTACAGTTATAGAAGTATGAATGTACAGCTATGGAATTATGAACATAGAGCTCTGACATTATGAACTTACAATTATGAACATATAGTGATAAAATTATGAACATATACTGTTATAACGAAGCGGTCTGAAATTTTAAAAAAAAAAAAAAAAAAGTGAAAGATAATGGTGCCACTAACGACACCGTTACCGTGTCCAGCATGCATGCTGGACACGGGTCCATAGCATAACGATTGACCATCCATCAGTTAATATAAAGTTTGTTTATTTCACAAACTATATAAAGTATATTTTATAAATTTATTTATAACTTAAAATAAAAAAATTATAATTATAAAATAAAAAATTACATATAAATTATATTAGTTTTAAAAATAATTTAAATAAATTATAATTATATTACAAATTAAAATATAATATAATTATCTAAACATACGTTGTATATAAGCACACATGAGATTTATTCAAAAAGTTTATTGTGTATGATTGGTAGAGGTAATAGTTTTTAATTAGAAGGTTAGAGGTTTGAGTCTTGGATTATACAAAAAACAATTAACATTTTAAAATAAAATATTAACTAATTTTATTATTGCATATGTAAAAAAATTTTAAAACTTGTGAAGCTGACGCCATTTATGGATTAGTGCGCCACCACATAGAATTTGCCCGGACTTAACGTTACGACCTTGGTAGCTAAAATTGGCATCACACTTAGCTAGTCACAATAAGTAAAAAAAATATGTATATGCCTACTTCTTCTTGGGTGCTAGCCTAGACTTGATCTTCTTAATTGCCTTGCTCCCAATTTGGAATGTCTTTGTCAAGACGTGATTCGGGACATCGGGGGTGGCGGCAAACAAGGCTGGCCCAATAGACTGAGTGCCCGGAAACTGACTGTTGAAGGCGGAGATGACGGCAGCAGGAACTTTCCCGTTGTTCTTTTGAAAATGCACAAGTCCTTTAGGGAAAACAAAGACTTCGCCCTTTGTTACGTGCTTGGAAACCAACACATTGGCCGTGGTTATGAACCCGACGTCCAATTCGCCATCCGTCACGTATATCATCTCGGTGGCGCGTGGGTGCGTGTGGGGTGGGTTTATTCCGCCCGAAGCAATGTCGATACGAGACAGAGATATGCCGAGTGTGTTAAGTCCCGGGACTTTTTCAACGTTTGCGGCTGTGACCACTGACCCCATTGTGGTGTTGGTGGAACCAGGATTGGCTAGGGCCAATGAGGAGAAATCAGCTTCTGTGAAACTCTTCTTGCAGGGAAATCCATTTACCTTCTCAGCTATTTGATAACAGCATTCAAACAAATATCCACTTATAAGTTAACCATAACAACAACAAAAATATGAAATAAAAGCATGTTTGGTTCATAAAATATGTCGAAAATAAAATAACATTCCCATATAATTTATATTCTATTCCTTATATTCCCTACCCTATAGGATATAATTTATATTTTATTCTTTATCTATTACCATCCTTATGAAATAGTATTCTAATTCCTTCAAATAAAATGAATTGGACGATCTACTAGTAATTATTATGAAACGATTTCTCTAATTAATTGAGTAATTTGGGGGATACTTTGGGTTGGTGGACCAAATTGCTTTAATTCATTTATGTTCAATTCTCAAATAATTGCTACCAATTTGGTGGGATCACTCAACAATCCCCACTATTAGCAATCCAGTACAAAAACACAGTAAGCTATAATGGGCAATTTATATCATAAACCAAGGTCTACATAGCATTATGTACCGTGAATTCAAATATTGTACAGAATTCATATTTGTAAGGTACATAATTTCATAACACAAGATACATACACATTTTATATATTTACTTATTTTTTAAATATGATTTAGGTACATATTTTGTGTTTATAGGCACAAAATTTCACAACACAAGATACATAAATTCATAACATAAGACACAATTATTAATTTATTTTAAGTACAAAATTCATACTCGTACAAAATTTCATAACACAATATACAAAAACTTACAACATAAAATACATACACATGCACCAAGGTCCAGAATACATTGTGAGCCTTGGTCCATGGTATAAGGATGGGCTATATTAATATTAATGCTATAAGGACAAAAAAAAAAATGTCTATGCGAAAAAATATAAATCCTTTAATGAATAAAAAAGTCAATATAATTCCTACCACATGAATCATGATGGAATAAAATGTAAGAGACATAATTTGTTTGTTATGTTTATGAGATTGTACATTGGATTAAAAATGTTACATTTTCTTTTGTTACCAGACGAGAATATCCTATTGTACATAAAATTTTGAATAAATTTAAAATTTTCGTTACACAAAATAAATATAGTTAATGACTATAATTAATATATATAATTAATGCTCCATATCATATTAGCATTAGTGTCCTGATTAAATGAATGGCTATTGGTTAATAATAATGATATTAAATTATTTTTTACCATATCTGTTTCCATATATTATTTCAAAATATGCTATTAATATTAATAAATAAAATTTGATTCTTTCTATACGTCCTCACTAATAAGGTCAGTTATTTTTTGTTTTGTTTTTTTATCGGTTCTTTTTGTTTGTTTGTTTTATTTATTTATTTATAAACACTCTTGATTTATTACAAAATAGTACATATTTTATACTTTCTTAATCAATATCCTCACCACCAGAGGTCTATTCTGTGACCACTCATTTAAAAAGGTAACAGATGTGTCATAACATACTAGTTGATGATTTTTTTTGGTTTTATTCTTACATATTTTTTAAAATAACTTTAACATTTTTTTTTTAATTTTAGTACTGAGTACAAAATGTAGGGATGAATAAGTTGATAAATAAAATAGAGTAACAAGAAAGTATTTTTATTCTATACAAATCAAGCTTTTTATAAAAAAAAAAAAAAAAATTATATATATACTAGAGCAAACACACCATCCATTTTAATATGGGGCATGTGCTTCTTTCAAGCCTCTTCAATCTCATTTTACAACTCAAATGGATTTACGTTGATAATCAATTTTCCATCTACCTGTTATCTGTTTTGAGCCTATAATATATCAATCCCTTCATTTCATTTTTAAAAATCTGAATATACTTTGACTCAACTCAAATCAAAATAGATTTCCCACCACAAAATAGCTACTTTTAATAAAATATTTCAACACAAACTTTCACGCACTATAGGTAATTAAAAGTGGCTAGTACATTACTCTAAATGGAGTAATTCCAAGATTTAAACCCCTGGGCATTATTCGTGTTTATTAAGAAAAAAAAAAAAAAAACATTATGCTAATCTTAACCAGAAAAAAAAAAAAATTTAAAAACAAAGAAAAAAAAAGTGTACATACTTGAGTTGAGATCTGCAACACAAACATCTTGAAGCAGGTCAGGATCTGCAGAGGTTTTCTTGAGGAATATGGAAAAAATCACAATAGCCATTGTAGCTGCCATCTTTTTAGAAGTGGACATTGTGGTGCAAGGAAATATTGTAAATTTATTTTTATTGTTTTATTTTCTTTGGGTTGCAAATGTAAAATCAGAATATCAAATTGAAGGAAGTGCAAAAGCACAGAGGCTTGGAGAGAGTTTTGGAAGGTGTAGAGAAGAAAAGTGAGTGGCTTTATTTATAGGTGAGTGGAGTTGAAGCCTGGCCCATGGGTGAGGAATAATGATAAGTGAATAATTTTATCAGTAAAAAAAGATTATAGTGTCGGAGGAGTCACTGTCAAGACTTTTTTTTTTTTTTAGAATTGACTGTCAAAACTTAATCTTGAATGTTTATGCCAAATTATTATTTAAGTACCAATTAAACTTTTCGGGTGAATGTCAAGACCTTGTGGTCTAATGACACTTGGATTGGATTCCTATATGAGATTGTAAGTTTGAGTCTTGGTTGGTGAAGGTGTTATTGACTTTTTATGTTTCAGTAGATTAAAAAAGTAGTTATGAACAGATACTAAAAGTAATTATTAGGAGTATGGGAACAAAATATTTGATACACCATCAATATTATTAGTCCAGCCTTGTTGGGGCCTTAGGGTTGGGGTTCAGCCTTGTTGGAAGAATATTATTAGTCCACAAAATGTCTTCATATTATTCTTAATTTGAGGGACCAGCTATAAACAAAAATAAGTTAATTAGTTGCAAATGTGAAATGACCCATAATCTCTCCATGACTCCATCCTATTTTGACCGGGATAATTGTTTTATCACGGTTTTTCAAAAAATAAAGGGAAAATGGTACTTTTTTCCCCTTTGTTATATACTTATAGCACTTTTTCCCCCTAAATTATTTAAGTGGCAGTTTTTCCCCTGATATATTAAATGGACATATTTACCCTTAAAATAAATATTTCATTTATTTTTCTTCTCCAACAAATTATAACCACGATTTGAAAAAATAAAATACATTAAGTGTTAAATTTAGAATATTTTAAAAATAAAAAATAAAATTTTAAAAGAAAGTTTGAACCAACCGTTCAAATTGGATCCAAAATCGTGAACCGACGGTTCAAAATAAAACTCAAATCGCGATTATATATACTTATATGTGAGACTCAATATAAATGCGGAAAAAACATACACTATTTACAAATATTATAATTCTAATTTAAGCTATTGCTAGTAGTTGTTCCGATTTGAACCTCCGGTTCACGGTTCAGGATCCATTTTTTTCCAGTTCACGATTTTAATAAACGGAAACCCAAATATTGGGTTATGTTATGAATCATAACCGAAATTTTTTAATTTGATTGCTATAGTGTTTGGTTCAGTTCGAACCGAACCGTGGTCATCCCTACGTATAAGCAATAATTTGGTGAAGAAGAGAAATAAATAAAATATTTGTTTTAAGGGTAGAAATGTCCATTTAATATTATCAGGGGAAAAACCGCCACTTCTATAATAATTGAGGTGGCAAATGTGAATGCATGAATAACTCAGGGGGGAAATGTGCTATAAGCATATAACACAGGGGGAAAAAGTGCCATTTTCCCAAAAATAAATAAACTGTGTTGTTCTTTCCTAATTTGCTTTTCTAAATTAGGTGAATTATATTGGATCACTTAGAAAAGTTTTTTTTTTTTTTAAATAAATTGTGAAAAATAATAAATTATTGGTGTTTAAAATTATTATGTAGTGTAATGTCACATTTGTTACTATTCCAAATGGGTGGTCACATTATTGAACCTTGATAATAGAAGCATGTGGAACATCGATTCTTTGGGTTAAAAAAATTAAAAAAGTATAAAATATATATATTGCCTTAATTGTAAAGAATTGAGCGTTTAAAAATATAGATATTATTTCGACACAAACTAAAAAAGATAGTATGACAAATAACGTAAGGCGGAGAGAATATATTACATTTCCTTAATTATTAGGATTAAATGACTCATAATATTTCTTTATTAGGATTAAATAACAACTCATATTTTATTTTCATATTAGGATTAAAAAACTTCAGTCCGTTTAAAAAAAAAAAAAATTGAAGTACATTTTCGTAACATAGTTAGCTTATCCGTCAATTTTAACATGTTTGGCTGCTATTAATTTTTTGACTTGATTAAACAGCCAATATGAGTGTTTGGTTAATCAGTTTTATATAATAATTTATTGCTCTAAAACACAAAAATTCAAAAAGCTAATCAAAGCATCTTTTTCGATCAGCTTTTTGAGAAAATAAATTAACCCTTAAAAGATTATTTTGCATGTAATTAGCTATCAGCTAACAGTTAATTTACCAAACATTTTTCTACAATCAGCTAATGTTATCACTTATCAGCTAATAAAACCTGATAACCCAATACACTAACAATTATCGTCTAACAGCTATTTGCCAAACACAACCTATTTATCCTGGATTTCCTTAGGAAAATGTTTTTCATTCCTACAATTACTTTTCTCTATTTAGGATCCGCCAAATCCATCAAATCCGCTCACATGTTTCTAGTAGATTGGATGTGGATGTAACTTCTCAAAAATCCATTATACCAAAATCTGTTATTCTTTTCGGTCAATTTATTTATTTATTTTTTTTAATGTTATTTAACTCTTTTTTATGTTTGTACCTTAAACAGGAGGATGAGGAATGCTGAATTGGTTGTTGTTGATTGCTGAAGCTTGCTGTTACCTGTTGGCTGTTGCTGTCACTTAGTTTTTGAATGATGCCTTAACAGCTGAACTAATTTTTTGTGAATTTGTAAAATGTAATTCAATTTTTGTAATATGTATATGTTCATTAAACCTGTAAAGTTTATATAAGTTGTTACTTGTTAGGGCTAAGTGGCTAACTTTTAAGTTTTAAGTTTTGATTTTAAAGTTGTAAGTTGTTAACTAGGTAGTTGTTACTAGAGTAAATACCCAAAATGGTCCCTCGATTATAGTTAAATTCACAAAATGGTCCTTGACTTTCAATTTCAACCAATTAAGTCCTTAACTTTGTAATTTGACATGATTTGGTCCTCCATCTATTTGACCGTTTGTTGGCCGTGATCGACGAACTCCAGAAGAACCTTCAGCTCTCGTCGGAGCATGTGGAGGCCTCCAGGATGATGTTGCACTGGTTCGGAAACACGCCGTCTTCTTCGCTCTGGTACGAACTCAATTATATTGAATCCAAAGGGAGGATGAAGAAAGACAACCGAATTTGGTAGATTGCTTTCGACAGTGGATTCAAATGTAATAGTGCGGTCTGAAAATGCAACCGGAACCTTAAAAAACCAACGGTGGACCATGAAATTACATATATATCCTCAAAAATCGCAGTCAACAAATGGTCAAATAGAAGGAGGACCAAATCGTGTCAAAATTACAAAGTTAAGGACTTAATTGGTTGCAATTGAAAGTCGATGACCAATTTGTGAATTTAGCTATAGTCGATGGACCATTTTGAGTATTTACTCTTGTTACTACTTAGTAGTTAACTAGTCAGTAGTTACTACTTAGCTTTACTTAACTGATTTACTTTTTTAGTACTTAATTAGTAAATTTGTAGTTATTTAATCCAAAATTCGAAATTAATCGTCCGTAATCCGAAGTTCAATGTTTTAATCCTTTTAATCCAAACCGTCAATGTTTTAATCCTTTTAATCCAAACCGTCCGTCCGATTTGTACAGCCTTTTAATCCAAACCCCTTCGTAGAAAACATCCTTTCTCAATCTGTGAGAAGATGATAGAGATCATTTCTCCAACCAATCACAAAAACCAGAACACTAGTAGTAACTTGTGAACATTTCATAATGTTTTGTATGTAGTCTCAACTTTTACACTTCCTAATATAAGTTCCTATGATAACTAGTAGTAACTTAGAAGAATGCCAACAAAAAACATAGTGAGAGACGAGAAACCGTGACACAAACCTATGCTCCATCCTCCGTTCTTGATTTCGTTCTTTGTACCAACTTCTCCACAATGATCTTAAGTGCAGGGGCGCTTGCCCGGCACGTGTTATCTGCAAAGCAAGACCTCCCTTCTTCCGCTGCTTTACAGAGCTGAGGGTCGATTGGGACAGCCCCGAGGAACGGGATACTCATTTGGTTGCACATTTTAGCCGCCCCTCCGCCACTTGTGTCGAACACTTGACTAAAAGCAAACAAATTTAGCAACTCCGGTGCCTTGTCTCTCATATAGGCTATGGCCCAGTCTGTAACTTCTATCTGCTCGCCATTCTCGGTAGGTTTCATGAATTGAAACTGCGATAACGGTTGGCAAAGACCGCTCATATTCTCGACAACACCAAGAACCTGCAGCCCGACTTTGTTGCAAAAGGTTATTCCTTTCCTTACGTCAACTAGAGATACTTGTTGTGGGGTGGTGACAATAACAGCACCGTCGATTCCAGTGGACTCGAGGAACTGGACGATTGAAATGTTCTCGTCTGAGGTACCGGGTGGAGTATCAATCACTAGAAAGTCGAGCTCCCCCCAATGGACATCCTTAAGGAAGTTCTTAATTAAACCATTCTTGCGAGGGCCCCTCACTATGGCGGCATCCTCTGGGTTAGGGAGCAAGAATCCAATTGAAATGACACCGAGATTAGACTCGACATAAACTGGAGACCATCCTAGGTTACTCTGGTGAATATCTTGGCCTTCTAGACCAAGCATTTTCGGAATGCTTGGACCACAGATATCGATATCGAGGAGACCAACCTTGAAATTCATGGCAGCTAGTGCAAATGCAAGCTGAGCTGAGAATGTGCTCTTACCAACCCCTCCCTTTCCAGATAAAACCAGAATCTTGTGCTTCACTGTTGCCATTCTTTCTGCAATAGTAACCAAATCTGCAAGGAATGAATCAAAATCAGAAAAAGTTATATACAGATTCTTGAAATGGTCAAAAGACTTGAACTTTAAGAAGCACATGGACAGAACACATCAAGATTTCGACACCCTTTAACCTAAAAACCTTTAAAAAGTTGCAAATTTCAACCAGAAACGAACCGGGGTCAGGGCCTTTAGGAGCAGTTGCACAAATCTGCTGATTGGGGCAACCTTGGCATTCATCAGATTTACCTGCAGCTTCTGATTGAGGACCTGGGCAATCTGAAAATGGAAATCAAAAACCCAAAAACTTAGAGGATCTGTAGTGGTCAAAACTCTAGCCACTCGCATTTTAAGCACAGAAGAATAATTTGCTTACGTTCAGGGGCATTCTCAGGAATTTCATTGTATCCTCCTCCGTTCTCCATATTCTTCTCCTTAGCTTTAGGGTCTGTGCAACAAAGCAGATGAATAATATAATGAAACTACTTGTTCTTTGTAATCCCTGCCAATTTCAGTATATCATATATAAAAGTTTAAAACAATTACAGAGTTAAAATATCAAATTTAACAAGTTCTAAAAGTAAGCAAACACCAACAAAAACATAATTTATTCCATTAATACATAGAAAATCCAAACAATCCAATTCTTCAAAACAATAACAATGGCCTTAGGTAGTTATAGTACACCCATGATCTTGCTACAGTTATTATTATTATTATAGTAGTGGGATAACCACTTCCTTAGGTAGTTATAGTACTTCCTTAGGTAATTATAGTACTTTAAGATAGTAGATAGTTTTATTCTTTGTATAAATAGCTAGCTATGTAATAAAAGATGGAAGATCATCTCAAGAATATATTAATGGATGTGGTGACATATTGAGAATTAGACTATTACTCGAAGTATAGTCATTGGGAGTTTGGCTGCCACTCGAAGCACAACTATAGAATTTAGCTCTTGACTCAAAGAAGAGCAATCCATACAACCTCAGGGTTGTATCAGATTCACTGAAGAAAATAAACCAAGGAATGGATAGATGGTGGACTTACTCCGGCAGTCTGACGTGTGACGTCCTGAGTCCGTCGCCGGTGAGGAGCGTGAAGCCGACGTCGCTGCAGGTGCTGGCTTCCGGCTGCTTGATTGCGTGAAGGGGCGAAGGGGAAGGGCGGCTGGCGCAAATTATGCCGTGGAATCGTGTTCACCGAGAATGGTGAACACAAGTCAAAACGACGTCGTTTTTAAGCAAAAAAAAAAAAAAAAATCGCGGATGTGGAGTTAACGGCGCGTTACTGATCAAATTATGAATTTCTGTTATGAGATTATGAATTTTATGAAAATTCATAATCGCATAACAGAAAATTCATAATCTCACAACTGAAAATTCATAATCTCATAACAGAAAATTCATAATCTTATAACAGAAAATTCATAATCTCATGGTTCCAAAGTGAATGTGTAGGCATGGTTCCAAAGTGAATGTGCAGGCATGGATTCATAATTTATGAATGTCCGTGATTTCGGACGGGAATATGTAGGCATGGTTCCAAAGTGAATGTGCATGCATGAATTCATAATTTATGAATGTCCGAAACTCCGAAATTATGAATGTAATGAAAATTCATAATCTCATAACAGAAAATTCATAATCGCATAACAGAAAATTCATAATCTCATAACAGAAAATTCATAATCTTATGTTTCCAAAGTGAATGTGTAGGCATGGTTCCAAAGTGAATGTGTAGGCAGTCACGTAATTAATTAAAAAAAAAAAAAAAAAAAAAAAAAAAAAAAAAGATAACGGTGCACTAACACCGTTGGAACCGTGTTCACCATGAATGGTGAACACAGTTCCATGGCATAACGTCTGGGCGGCTGGGGGCTGGGGATTACCTTATTTTGGGAACTTAAGATTACCTTGTTTCATCAATACTATATATAAAAATAAATTTAACTTCCCGCTATCATTTTCTACTTTCCTATTCTTACTATAATTTTACATCAAAATTTATATTTCAATATTGTAAAATAGTTATTTTCTACTTTCCTATTCCTATTATAATTTTACATTATATTCTAACATTGTAAAATAGTTGTTTTCTACTTTTCTATTCGTACAATGATTCTACATTAAAATTTGTATTCTACGTTAAAATAGTTGACCTAACAATAATATATACTATCTATATTTATACTATATATAAAAACAAAATTATTCATTTTAACTTCACACCCAAAAGACTCCTATACTATTAAAGTTTGAGCAATATAGTAAAAATATGGTAATACAATTCCTAATACAATAATATAGATAAATTGGAAAATGAATCTGTTATTAATAATTGATTGGAAATATTAAAAAAAATAATCTATTATTAATAATTAATTAATTGATATGTAGTAACAAAATAATAATTGACTGAGATAAAAATGACATGAAAATTATGTCAATTTAAAAAGGAAATGAATATTAATAATTTGCTGTAAATTAAAAATGATACCCAATTAACTATTTCGAACAAAAAACGAATTAACTATAATATAGGTATTATATGAGATACATATGGATCTGAACTCATTAATTTCCAGAGGAAATAGTCATGCAATGGGCAAACTATCTTGAGAATACTTTGCACATAGAAGATTGTTACTACGTTATTGCATGACTATGTTAATTATATCGTAATTAAAAAAGAAAAATGAACATTAATAATTGACTGAAAATTAAAAATGATCCCGATTAACTATTTCGAAAAGGAAACGGATTACCAATAGTATAGGTAAATTAGAAAAAGAATCTATTATTAATAATTGATTGGAAATATTTAAAAAAATCTGTTATTAATAATTAACTAATTGATATGTATTCACAAAAATAATTGACTATGATTAAAAATGACACATAAATTAGGCCAATTGAAAAAGGAAATGAATATTACTATTTGACTCAAAATTCTAAATGAATATATTTTTTGACGGGAAAATGAATAATATAATATTATTGAATAGAAATATGAATTTTAATATTGTTGTATTGTTAATATTATGTTTTGACTATTTTACTACTCAATCATCCCTTTCTGACTAACATATTTTCAAATATTATATATATGTTATAATAATGATAAAATTAACAATAATTATAATATATGTTGCTTCCTGTTTCTAGTATTTGTACTACCAGGTTTAATTGTCACGCACGGAGTATTATAATAGTATTTTAATATTTTCCTATTGTATTACAAATAGGAATTTTAATATAGAATTATAGTACGAATAGAAAAGTAGAAAAGAATATATTCTATTAGGAATTGTATTACACTATTTTACAATATTAGAATAGGAATTTTAATGTAGAATTATAGTACAAATAGAAAAGTAGGAAAGAATATAATCTATTAGGATTGTATTACACTATTTTACAATATTAGAATATGAATTTTAATTTAGAATTATAGTAGGAATAGGAAAGTAGAAAACAATATATTAAAATTTGAGAATTTTGGGCGAGAAATTAAGTTGAGGATTTTGTTTTTATATATAGTATAGAGTATAGATATATAGTATAGATTATTATTATTATTATTATTATTATTATTATTATTATTATTATTATTATTATTATTATATAAGGATATAAGGATTAGTTAACAAGGGCAAAGTTGGAATTGTTCAAGGTAATCTGAGATTACCTAAGAAAACGGAGGTAATCACATTACCGCCACATCAGCTTTCAGATAATATAACATTACCAAGTAATTTCATTACTTGAACCAAACAAGGTAATATAACATTATCAGACTCAGATTACCTAGGTAATCTAAGATGACCTGAACCAAACGCCCCTAAGGAATAGGGATTATAGGGAAAGATATGACAACCAGGTTTTTTTTTTTTTTTTTTTTTTTTTTTTTTTTTTTTTGTAATGAAACCAGGTTTATATTTAGTTATTAAAAAATTACAGATTTTGATATTTAAGTTTGTATAGTAAAATTAGTGATAATTATCATTGTATTTTAAAAAAAAAAAAAAAAATCTAACCTCATGTGTTTAAATTTTTTAAATGTAAGATTGAAATTGGTGACTTTTATCTATTTATTTTTGGGTCAATACTTCAACAAAAATGAAGAGATGATGATGTCAATGGTGATGGTATGGAAAAGAAGATTATTTTAGACTTTTCCAGTGGTGTTTACTTATTTTGCTGATGAGAATTCAAAATTCAATTCGATACAGAAAGATAGGATTACAGGAGAATATATCTGAGTCTATCTCTAACTGTTCCTATCTAACAGGTTACAAGCAGAAGACTTATTCTAACCATATAAAACTAACTATAGGTTATAAGCATAAAATAATAATAACAATAATATTACTCACACACCCCCTCAAGCACACGGTGTGAGAGACACAACGTTGAGCTTGTCTCGGAGAGCAATAAACCTGGGTCCAGCTAGCGGCTTGGTGAAGATATCGGCTAGCTGATCTTTAGTCGACACAAAATTAACAACAAACTCGCCGCTGGCTACCTTATCACGAACAAAATGATAGTCGATCTCAACATGCTTCGTTCTGGCATGAAAAACCGGATTAGCACACAGATACGTTGCTCCTAAGTTATCACACCATAAAGTGGAGGACTGCCCAGTGTGTAGACCTAGCTCACGAAGGAGAGAAACAACCCAAGTAACCTCAGCCGCCACATCAGCTAAGGCTTTATATTCTGCTTCTGTCGAGGAGCGTGCCACCGTCCGCTGTTTTCGTGAAAGCCAAGAGATGAGATTTGTCCCGAGAAACACTGCATACCCACTAGTGCTTTTCCTATCTATGGGACAACCAGCCCAGTCGGAGTCGGAATATGCGTGGATGGAAGTAGTCGGTGAGGAACCAAGCCGGAGCCCATAATCCAACGTGCCTTTGATATACCGTAAGACCCGCTTGACCATGGCCCAGTGATCAACAGACGGAGTGTGCATAAACTGACATAATCAATTGACGGCATATGATAAATTCGGCCGAGTGATAGTAAGATACTGTAATGCCCCAACAATCCGACGGTACTGTGTGGGATTATCAAACGGCTCGTTGGACGGAGTAACTGGCTGAGTGGTTGAAGCAGGTGTGGCTAGTTGCTTGCAGTCTACCATACCAGCCCGGTTCAGAAGACCAGTCATATAACGGCGCTGAGACAGAATCATGCCATATGTAGTGTCAACTGTTTCGATGCCCAAGAAGAAACCTGGTTTTCCGAGATCTCTGATTTTGAAAGCAGTTGCAAGGCGGCATAATAAAGTGTTAATGAGCGAAGCATTACTCCCCATCATAATAATGTCATCAACGTAGACTAGAAGAAAAACTTGACACCCATCTGCACTGTAGTAGAAAAGAGAGACATCTGTTTTCGATGCACTGAAACCGGTGGTAAGAAGAAAGTCATGAAGACGCTTGAACCATGCCCGCAAAGCTTGCTTAAGGCCATAGAGAGACCTTTGTAAGTGGTAGACATGATTAGGATGAGTTGGGTCTTCATACCCTGGTGGCTGTTTCATGTATACGGTTTCAGCTAAACGCCCATTTAGGAAGGCGTTATGCACATCTAACTGTCGTAGCGTCCACTTGTTGTGATGGCCAATGAAAAAAGAAGACGAACAGTTGTTGGCTTGACAACCGGACTGAAGGTTTCGAAAAAGTCTTCCCCGGCTACCTGATTGTAGCCCTTAGCCACAAGCCTCGTGCCTTATGTCGTTCTACCGAGCCGTCTGCAGTCCGTTTGGTGCGAAACACCCATTTACACCCGATGATATTCATAGTGGGGTTAGGTGGGACCAAACGCCAGGTGTTGTTATGTAGAAGGGCATTGAATTCTTGATCCATAGCATCCCGCCACTGTGGGTGGCCAACGGCTTGGGAATAACATGTTGGATCAGCAGCAACGGCTGTCAGTGCCTGAAATTCCTCATCGGTGCCATGAGTCTGACAGCGGAGACGCATGACATGACCCCGCTCCTGCGGTTGGGCCCGTCCCCGACCCCGACCTCGTCCCCGTCCCCGAGATGTTGGGACAGCGGGCTCAATAGCCAATGGTGGCTCCTCTTGAGCTAGAGGCTGTGGATTAGAGTCATGTGGTATAGGGGTGTTAGGATGCACCGTAGGCTGAACATGAACTGGTACAACGAGCCCAGCTGCCCAAGGCACTAGTTGGGCCTCAACAATACGAGGTGTTATACCTGTGGCAAAGGGGAAAATAGTTTCATCAAACCACACATGGCGACAGATATAAGTTTTCCCACTAGTTAAGTCCATGCATCTGTAACCTCGAAGGGACAGGGGATACCCCAGGAAGACACAAGGAGTGGAGCGAAACTCTATCTTATGCCGATTGTAGGGCCTAAGATATGGGTAACATAAGCACCCGAAGACACGTAGAAACTAATAAGGTGGTAGCTTTTTATGTAGACGGTAATAGGGACTTTCAAACTTTAGCACTGAGGAAGGAAGATAGTTAATGAGACACATAGCTGTCTCAAAAGCATGATCCCAGTATTGTTGTGGGACAGACCCTTGAGCCAGAAGAGCTAAGTCTGTTTCGACAACATGTCTGTTACGGCGTTTTACTCTTCCGTTCTGCTCATGTGTGTAGGCACACGACTAACGGTGATTAATTCCAAGGGACTAAAACGTAACATGGAGTTTGCGGTATTCACCCCCTAGATCCGATTGAATGGACTTGATAGAGCGTGAGAATTGTCACTCTACCAAAACACGGAAGACATCAAATGTTTTATAGATGTCTGATTTTACCCTTAATAGATAAAACCAGCAATACCGAGAAAAATCATCTACAAACAGAAGGAAGTAACGAAAACCACTAGACGAGATAACTGGTGCAGGCCCCCAGATATCCGTATACAATAAATCTAGTACATTGTTGATAGAATCATTTATTCTATCTAATTGAAAGCGAGAAGACTTGCCAAGGTGGCAAGCCGTACATGACCCGAAACTAGAATTATTTTGTGTAACTGAGCAGTGTTGCAGAATTTTATTTTGGACAAGTTTGTGCGGATGACCAAGCCTGCGGTGCCAAGTTGTGGGCGTTGCACGGGAATTGACAAACGCAAAATGACTCCGGGAAATGGGTAACTTGTACAGACCTCCAGAAGTCGGGCCTTTAAGAAGCACCGCCTTGGTTTTGGAATCCTTCACAACGAAACAACTGTCATGAAATTAAAAAAAAAAACACTATTTTCTTTAGCGAATTTTTGTACAGATAATAAGGGGACAGTTAATTTCGGGACATGTAACACATTAGATAGAAACAACTGTTTGGACACAGAGGGGATCGATGCATGGCCAACCCGTGAGATTAATAAACCTGTACCATTGCCCACTCGGAGCGTATCCGGGCCATTATAGTCCTCCGAGGATGTGAGCATGCCGGCTTCGGGAGTTGCATGGGCCGTGGCACCCGTGTCAGGATACCACGCGTCGGCCGGTGGCGCGGATGTGACTGGTGAATCGCCGGAAACGGCCACATGTTCTTGCGCGGGCGGTTGTGTTGTGTAACGTTTATAGCAATAGACCGCAGTATGCCCTTGAGCTCTACAGATTTGACAACGTGGACTGCCACGCTGGTTTCGGCCACCACGCTGGTTCCGGCGCGCCCGCCTCGCCAACCGGATTGCCGGTCTCCATCACCAGCATTGCCACTGCCTCCGGAGTGATGCCCGCCGCTGCTACTGCCTCGTCCGGCGTACAGCGCCGTAGGTGCACCATTGCCGCCTCCATCGGCGAAATCATCTGCCAATATAAAGTCCGCAGCTTGCAGATGATCCGCCAAATGCAGGAGAGAAACTGGTGCGTGGGCAGTGAGGGACGTCGCATAGGCCCTGTACTCCGGTCGCAGTCCCCTCAGAACGTACAAGTTTTGTTTCGCCATGGATAGAGGCTGCCCGGCCTGCGCAAGAGCTTCCACCAACAGCTCCGCCTTCCCTAGGTAGTCACCCAGCGTCGACACCCCTTGCCGGAGCGCCTGGAACTGACCTAGCAAACTCAGTCACCTCGCCTGTGTATTGGAGCCGAGAGCGGTGCAGATGGACTTCCAAACGTCGGCGGCGATATTCCGGCCAACCGCGAGATGCAGGACTTCATCAGACATCGATGAAATCAGCAGGCTAAGGATCGATTGATCCTGGAGAATCCATGCTTTGTGCGCCGGGTTCGGGGTCGACGTTGCGGTAGTGGTGGCGCCGGAGCCAGACTCGCTGGAAACAGCGGTAATCATCGCTGGCGGGCAGGGGTTGGTGCCATCCACGAACCCGATCAAATCTTGGCCTCTGAGAAAAGGGATGAGCTGCGTTCTCCAAAATATGAAATTCCGAGAGTTAAGTTTCATAGAAATAAAATGGTGTGCGCCGGCCAAGGGATTGGCGTTCGCCAGAGACGAACCACCGGCGGCGGACGGAGTTCTCTCCGACGAATTTGACGACATGGTGGGTAAGGGGGGGGGGGGGGGGGGAGTTAGGTGTTTTGCGATGGAGGATCGTGTTTAGGCTGATACCAGATGAGAATTCAAAATTCAATTCAATACAGAAAGATAGGATTACAGGAGAGTATATCTGAGTCTATCTCTAACTGTTCCTATCTAACAGGTTACAAGCAGAAGACTTATTCTAACCATATAAAACTAACTATAGGTTATAAGCATAAAATAATAATAACAATAATATTACTCACATTGCTTTCAACAATATTATTGTTTATTTATTTATATTTATTTTATGAGTTTGAATTTTTACATTAAAATAAATATCTTTTTTTTTTTGTTATTTATTGATTGAAAGAAAATACTATGAGACTCCTATTTTATGTTCCAACTTCTATTCTCACTCTCAAATTCTTGATGTGAACATTTTTTTTTTAAATCAAACTAAACAGCATTTCATTAATTGGCTCCAATAGACAGAATGTGTGAAAGAAACATGGGAGGGTCATAAATCCACTCCCTACAACCAGCAGAGAACACGACCTCTCGAGCTAACAAATGAGCTGTCTTGTTCGCTGATCGTTTAACGAAATTAAAGCTAATACAAGAGAAATCATTAGTTTTTTTCCTAATATCATCAAGGACAAGATCAAAAGATGAAATACAGTTATTATTTTGCAAGTCCTGAATGACAAGTAGAGCATCCGATTCAATCTTAATATTGTCAACCCCTAAACCTTTCACCCATCCATTTGAGAGCCTCCCTGATGCAAATAGCTTCTCCAATTTTTGGATGATAAAGACCCTACTAATTCTTCATCTTTGCTACAATGAACAGACCTTCAGAGTCTCTCATACCAAAACCCACGCATGTCGTCTTTAGGGAGTTTGTATTTCTGGATTCTTGTATTTCATTCCAGTTATTATTTTCCTTTCCGTTTCTTTAGGGAGTTTGTTAGCAGGTTGTTTGGCAGCTATATGAGCTGTGTTTTGCAAGTGGTTGTTCATGCATATTTTTCTAGTAATGAAATTGCTCTATTTCTCATCTCTCTTCTGCTAAAATTTCCCTTCTCCCTTCTTCTATCACTTCCTACCCTTTTTGATCTGCAGCTAAAAATCATTTCTAGCCTTCTCGGATCATTACAGCTTGGTATCAGAGCCCATGGCCGCACAAAACACCGCTCGAACTGATCTTGAGGAATGTGTGAAGGAGCTTAGTAACAAATTTACAGAAATGGAAGCTCAGTTGGCACGAAACCAGTAGGTTGCTGGTGGCGGAGGCTTGCGCTCGATCTCTTAGAGTAACGATGACCATCCAACCAGGGCTTATTCGCAACATTCTGGTGGTCTAGGAACTTTGGGTGATCCAGTAATGGCGCCGGGTGGACTCAGAATTGGTGCTGGGGCCTTACATGGTTTGGAGACCCCGGCCAATGCAGTGGTGGTGCCGGAGAGTTAACAACTTCGACCTAGTTCTGACTGTTCAGAGAAAGAATTCGAAGCGTCGAAAGAAATGCAAAGACAGAGAGAAAGGGTAAAATAGAAAATAAAATATAAAGTTTATTCCTGATAACTCAGAAATAGTTTAATACCAGCGGGATCATTCCCAAAATTTTACCATAAAAGGAATAGACATATTACTTGGAATGCTATGTCATTACAAGCCTATTTCACGAACCAAACGTGCAGTGCCATTATAAAAATTTTGAACAACTCAATCGTGATTATTTGAACCGTTTAATTTATAGTCTATAATTATTTATGACCGTAACATATTAGAGCCAGGTTTTGATCCTAAACATGTGGGTTATGGGCCCACCGCACTTTCACTGCGCCACTCTGATTTTGATGGGTTTTGAAAGCTTTGAAATTAACTATTTGCTTTAGGTAAAATCTCCCACAAATCGAATACCATATGTATATTGTTATAGTATATACCAAAAATAATAATAATAATAATAAAGAGAGCCTAGATGCATGATCAAATTGGCATCGATATCATACAACCAGAAAATAGATTTTGTATTTCTTCAAAAAACACAATCATGCAGTCATATCACAAGATCATGTGACCTCGATCTATATATGTGTGAACCTTTAACCTTCAATTTAACAATCACATTGATGAATATATTAAACTCAATTCAAACTTTTCAGTCTAATAAGTGTGGCAAGGCAAATTATGTTAGTAGTATAGTTATTGGATGAAGACCGAGTATCACGAAGACACCCTATTTGTGTGGATGTTGTTAAAGAGCTAGTATAAATAGTTATGTCCATGTTTTCAAAATAAAAATAAAAAATAAAAAATAGTTAAGTCCATGCCTAGTTTAAGACGATTGGCTTCATTTTAATACACTTGCTTTCATTCTAACACACTTTGTCTCATTCTAACACTTTCTTTTGTAATATTCAAGCATTCCATAATGAAATACGAGATTCTATTGTCCCCTTCAGACATTGTCTCCACATTGATATTCCATTAATCCTCAATCTTATAATTGGATTAATTAATTCAAACTCATGAGTTAATTTTCTCTATCATGGGTGCTCTCATTAAGAACTCTACATACAAGTTCAAGCATGCTATGAATTCTTAAACCAAACTTTATCCCTAAAACCACCACCGAAGCCATGACAAAATCAAACTCTCACAACACTATTGTCCCATTGAGTTGTAGCAACCTCAATAGGAGTGTGAGTCAGCAAACATTACCATTGAGGTCGGGGAAAAACTTAAGAGATCACTTCAACCACAAATGGGGTGGTAATATAATAGACCATGGTCGCCTCATTGGTGACCCTAGTCTAACCAACGCTCAACATCGAAGCTCAAAGCCCAAAATAACACTAATAGTGACCTGCAATAACATGTCAATAATGCATCGGCGAAGCTCCGATAACATTCCGGCAAGCGCACCCTTTTTCAGCAACCAAACGACGGAGACGGCGACCAAACCGGTCACCTTCTCAGTAATTGGAGATGGCGACCAACTGGTCGCCATCAATCGACGACGAAGAAGCGACCGGTTTGGTCGCCATAAAAGTTCACGCTTGCCGAAATGTTGCTGGAGCTCTGCCGGTGCATTATTGACCTGCTATTGCATGTCACTATTAGTGTTATTTTGGACATTGATGTACTAAATTAATATGATAATGTGTCTAATTGTAACTTTCAAAAGTTCAAGGGCCTAATTAACTTCTTAGATAAAGTTTGATGATGTATTTGACCCATTTCCCTAATAATAATGACATCCAAAATAGCATTAAATAGATGAGTTGGTGTTCAACAATTTGATGTGGCTTTCGAATCAACTATAACATGTTAACCTATTATAGGGGTACAAAAAAAGGTTTAATTACATTATTTTTTTCAATAACATGTTAACCTATTATAGGGGTACAAAAAAAGTTTTAATTACATTATTTTTTTTCAAGTTCAATAGCGTATTTGGACCTTTTTAAAGTTTGATGACTTTTAGTTGCATTTTTTTATAAATGTTGGATGGCCTATTTGACCTTTTATCCCTCTTTTCTTTATTACTTTTTATTAACAATTTAAATTTTATTCTATAACAAATTATAAGTATATAAATTTTATTCCTGACACTAAATTAATTCAATTTTAACTAGATTGAATTAATAGTATTTACCAAATGTGAAATATAAACTAAGAAATTTACAATAATGACACACTTTAAAAACAAAATTCTATTCTTGGACTTGTACTTCTCTGATCTTTATCTAATCTTAAAACATTATACTATAAACAGGGACGGAGCCAGAAAATATGTTGAGGGGGGGCAAAGAAGTAGGGATGGATTCAATGGCGGATTCAGAATTTTTTTTTAGTGAGGGAAAAAAATTAAAATAAAAGAGAAAGTTTGAAAAAAAAATGAAATACTTAAGAAGTATAACAATAAATATTGTTGGATATAGCGAAAAATAAAACATATTAAAACTTTATAAAAATATTTATAACAAAATATGAAACATAATTAATTTGATAAAACAATTCGAATATAAAACACATTATAAATTACACATTCCATTATTAATATAAAGAAAGTTATATATATCATGCCAAAATTTAATTGTGTTAATCAAAAAAGTGAAAAAGACTATAACATTGTCAATGCAAAAACTCAAACCCAAGTCATTCCAAAATTCATATACGTTAGCTACCACCTTGTCTATCATAGCTTTTGTTTACATAATCTGTTTTATAATTCTTATATGAATAATGTACTATATATACATATTATATACAATATGGGGTAGGGTAGGGGTGGGGTGGAGTGAGGGGGGGCAGCCTGCCCCCCCCCCCCCCCCCCTCTGGCTCCGTCTATGACTATAAAGGTTGTACATTAAAATATTATGTCCATTTGTCTGTTTTTTCCGTTAACTTTTTTTGTACATTATGCTATAAAGGTTGTACATTAAAATATTTTGGACAAACATACCCCTACCGTTATAACTTCCGTTATCTTTTCCACTATTATTACCATGCACATGCATCCACCATATATTTTCTTATCTTCTTCATTAATAATAATATATAAACATTATATATTTGAGTTATATGTTAATTATTACATAAAATATAAATATCAAATTTATAAAAATGATTTACATTATTATTATTATTTAGAATAATTTAAATATATAAAATCTAAATAAATTTAAAATTTTAATATAATGTATTAATATTGGGCACCTATTTTTTGCGCATCGCGCATAAAAAAAAATACTAGTATATATATATTCTTTAATCTTTAATTAGACGCAATAAGATATACAAGTATCTCTAAATACAATTATTTTCTTCTTCTTTTTTAATACAATATGCTATCATACAATTAATACTATGTTTATCAAAAAAAAAAATAATAATAATAATAATACTATAAAAATTCAAGATAAGAAATAAAAATCGAGATAAATTGAATTTTACTTACCATTAAAAATCTTCTTACACGACAATATTCAAAATAAAAACATATTTTTTTATAGTACTACTAATTCTATTACACACATTCAAAAAAAAAATTCTATTACACAATACTTCCACTTGGATTCAAACCTATGACCTCCCATTTGGGAGAGTCAAAGATGCCATTAGGCAATTGTTATACCATGGACCCATAGTCCTAAATTGTGTATTTTTAGGATTGGAATTGTGACCATCTAAAATATAAATTGTGTTTCTAAGTTTTTAGAATTTGTGAATACAATACAAAGGTCATCACAAATTGTGTATTTTTAAAAGGTAAATTGTGTATCTTTAGACCGGGTTCACCTTGAAAGGGTGGATCCGGATCCACATAACAATTTGATGTCATTGAGCTAAAAACTACTTGGCCAAAATAAAAATTATGAGTCTATTTAGCAGAGCTTATTTAGGAGCTTATAGCTTATTTTAAACTACTAATAAGCTATAAGTTCTGTTTGGTAATGTTTTCAAAATAAGCTCGTAGCTTAAAATAAGAGTTTATTTTGGAACGCTACCTTAGGTAGTGTTTCAAAATAAGTTAGTAGCTTCCTAACTTTTTTTTTTCATCTTTGTCCTTATTATTTTAAAGAAATGACATCTTGTATCCTTCCCAATTAAAATCATTTTCTCTTCTCCTTTATCCGCAACTTTCGTCACAATTATTATTATTATTATTATTATTATTATTATTATTATTATTATTATTATTATTATTAAATGAAGGAGATTCGCAACAATATTGCTACTTCATTACGGGATACTAGATCATGATTATGCTAATAATTTTATTTCAAAATATTAATTTTTTAAAGACAAAATGTTAAATGTTAAATGTTAATATGTAAACAAACTAATTTAAATTTTATGAAGATGTCCTTTTTTGTCTTTTTACATTTATCAGCTTATCAAAAAGTTAATTTTACCAATAGCTAGGTTTGTCAACCTACTAAAACACAAAGAGCTATAACGCCTCCACTAAGGCTCAAACTCACAACTTTCTAAATAGAAATCTAACCCGGGTACCATTAGACCACATAGTCCTAGTGTGTCCATAATTACTTATACTTTACTTAAACACATAATTATAAATTAAGTATTACTTTTTTTTTGAAGACAAAAATTTAATTCATTAAATCAAACGCAACACAATCAACAAGAAAGGGGGGCGCACATTCGTTTTAATATCTTAATTTATTTCTTCTTCCCAATAAATTAATATCTTAATTTATTTTTTTAAGATATTTGTTGGTTTTCAAGCTTGATAGAAAGAAGCATCTAGAAAATAAAGTTAAGGACCACTTAGTTCAGAGGTTTTTGCCTTGTGGTCTCACTCAGATAACAAGATCCTAAAACTACATTATTTTGTGGCTGTCAAGTGACTTGGAAATTCCAACAACTGTGGGGATGTCAAGTTTGTGATCACACTCCTTATGAACCACAATTATCTTAAGGAATATTTCATCAATATGCCATCCACAAATTTCATGCTCACGTGTATAAAAACATACAGAGAAAATGATAAAAATAAAAAAGTAAAAGTAGTTCTATATATATCCCATTATATTGTAAAACTATAGGCATCAAAATTTTTCTATCATGACAATAAAATTCTTCTTATTCATTGATTACCGTATAATAAAAGCTCGCCCCCCCCCCCCCCCCCCCCCCACACACATCTTGTATTAAAAAATAAATTCACGTACTTATTAATCAAATACGAATGATGTGTTGTCACATTAGATTCTGACAATTTTTTGCCCTATAGCTTGATTTATATTTAAAAAAAATATATATGTTTTTATTATTATTATGTGTATTCTTTATTAATTTATGATAATGTTGAGTGGTGAATAAATAAAAAATAAAGTTTCTTTATATATATAAAAATAAAATAAAAAACTTATGAATAATACCATATTTGGAAGTGGACCAATTTTAGTAGAGAATATGGCAAATTATTGTGTGCACCATGAATATTAGGTACATTTTTAATATTTTAAAAGTACATTATTTTTGTACTAAAAGTACATTATATAAAATAATGTACCATTAATATATTAAAAATATACTTTCAAAAAAATATACCTTACGTACATAAATAATGTACTCTTAGTATATTAAAAATTTACTTTTTATTTATGGTCCACACAATTGTGTGGACCATGGTCCATGCAATAATGATTGAGAGAATATAGCTTCTTTGTGCCACATCAGTTATTATACGGTAGAGCATAGTCCACATTGCAATGTGATCACTAACATACATAGTACATACTCATTTTTATTAATTCTATTGAATATTCATTATAATGTATTACAATTTTATTTTTTAAAAAAAATCATTTTTAGTGTTTTATATTTTTATTTTTAGTATATTACATAAAACTTGACCTATTATACATTAGAAAATAAACTTTTCGTATACTAAAAATGAATATTTATTAGTGGTCCATTTTGTAATGTAAAACATGGTTAAAGGTATAATTTGCCATGCCATACTACTATCTAAGTTTGACTCTTAATCAAGAGTAAGATCTAACACAAAACTCTTTTTTTCTTTAATACGAGAAAAAAAAATAACATTTTTGGAAAAGTAAAGATACGAAAATATAAAATAAATAAATAATTGTGTCATATTCTTATTCGATCTCCATATTATAATTCATTGAGATATATAGAATAATCGCAGCACAAATACGTAGGGTTTTTTTAATTCACTCTCGTCTCTGATATTTTACACGGTTGTCGCCTCCGTGAAGTAAGCGGATCGGAGGCGGCGTTCGATCGTTTTCCCCTGCTGCCATCTCCACTGCATACAGCGTTCGCTGATGTGAGTCTAATTGTGCATATTTCTAGTATTAGTTTGATTTTATTTGTTAGGCTTGAGTTCATGATTTTGTTAATTTAATTGCATAATCCCTTGTTTTATCATTTAGTTATGGTTTACACTTGTTTTGAATGTTTTACGGTGTTTTTTAGTGTTTTGGAACCATTGTAGGTCATGAGCAAAGACAAGGGAAGTTCTAGGATAACTTTGGAGTCAAAGTGGACCGAAGGAGGCGTGCACAGCAAGTTTGATGCGTCGAGCCAAGGGCTCGGCGCGTCAAAAAATTCCCGAGACGTATTCGCGAGGCCAGCAGAGGTCTCGACGCGTCGAGTGGCTACATCATGGAAATGGAAAAAACGACGCCTTCTTCGACGCGTTGAGCCCTCTTTCGACGCGTCGAGCGGGCGGTTGGCCCAGGCGCGACTTCAGGCCCGTTTTGCGCGGAATTTTCCTATTCACTCCGGGATTGGTTCCAGCTATAAAATCTCACCTTAGCTTCCTCAACCCTAATATCCATTTCAGAGATCTTTGGACACAAGAAAGAAAAGAAATCAAGAGCCACGAGTTGTCTTGGGAAGCAAGAAGAAAACTAGGGAGATTTGGGAAAATCGCTTGGTTCTTTCTTGTACTCTCTTTGGTAATTTGCAATCTTTTTATTATATTTTCTATGTATAATTTAGTCATGTCTGGCTAAATTCCTTTAGAGATTATTGGGTAAAAGTGTTTATGGACATATGTGTCTATGCTTTTATATTCTTTAATATATTATTATTTGGGTTTTTAACCTGTGTTCCAATTGTGATTCTATTTGTTGTTGCTAGTAGTTCAAAGCCCAGATTACTTGTTTCATTGCTTTGTTTATGTCATAACGGGAGTTAGGAATAATTGAAAGTACACACAATTGCACTTAACTGTTGCACCTTGGGAGAGGGTATATATGTTAAGGGTGTTTAATTCTTGATTATTGCACATCAGGAGATGGCAGTAGTTAGAAATTTATTATGAATGCTTGTTCTTATATTATTCGGTGTTTATATCACGGGAGTGAATATTCACTAGGGTTAGAGATTACGGGAGTAACTCTATACCATCTTTGCATTCTCACACTAGTTTAAACCCAGATTTAATATTGCACAACAGTTAGGCACTAGGGGATTAAACACTTGAATCTCAGGAATCTCAATCTCTCTCTATTGTTTTCAAAATCTGATATTTTGCTTTGCTTTATTTATTTTATGCAACCATCCAAGACAATCATTAGGATTAGCTTCTCAAGAATAAATTAGTAGCTAGTGCTTGATACCCCACTTCCCTGTGGACCGATTACCCGATACTTCGGGTATTATTTGTTTGAAAATATACTACAATCATCCGCCTTCACCGTTTTTCTCCTCCATCTCCACCGCTATCGGTCGTTACCCCCTTATTTTTGCATTGTTGTTTCCCTTTTCTTTGTTTTCCTGGTTTAATTTTGTTTGCAGTTTCTGTGTTTTTCCTCTCGTTGTTTTAACGAGTTTTTTCCTCTCATTTACTTGGCGAGTTCTTTTTCATAAAGCGTGAAACGATAAAACTGGTCATGGCGTATGTGAATCTCATTCTGGGTGACAAACATGACAATGAAAAAGAGACTCTTCTGAACTATGATATACAATTTAGGCAGATGGAGATATTGTCAATGCATAAAAGAATGGAAATAGATACTCAGGTGGTGTGCAAGACTATTCAACCAGTGTCAGTCTTGGGTACGTTTGACCAAATCATTAAAGAAGCTTTAAGTTCCTCCAACGAATTCAGCTTCAAATTTGTGAAACAGTCTGCGAATCAAGTTTTCTGTAACATTGCTAGGGAAGTTGTTTCTATGTCTAACTGTAAGAAATGTTTGACCATTCCATCCATCTTTATTGTAAACGTTTCAGCCTATAATTAATGAATTAGCTTCTTTATTTTCAAATAATAATAATAATAATAATAATAATAATTAATTGAGATTGAGCCACTTGTACGTTCCACACAATTTCATATTTATGTATCCTTTGTAATAACATTAATAAGATGAAACACGCCCCACATGTTGAAAGATGTATGGTGCCAATTGGATGAAGAAAAGGTTGTTTTGAAAAGGAAATTGAATACCAAATTTTGTTTTAGGGCACTCTCGTACATATTATTTACTACAAATATATGTTAGTTTAAATTAACTTAAACTTGAGACTATCATGATGATTTGAATAAAGTTCAAATAATTCTAAACCTAACTTACAAATTTAATTACTAGTATTTACATTTAAAAAGAAAACTTAAAAAATATATAAATTGTGGACAAATCACGCTAATTAAATATGCATAAAACATGTCAAGTCTTATTATTAGGTGAAGTGTCAAAAACTTGAACCCAACAATAAATGCAATGGTATTACAGCATTAGAATTATAATTCATTTTAAGTATGCTGATTATAATCAATGATAGGCAATTCGTTCTATCACTTATATACTTACAACACGGGTAGTTCAGTTAGTTCTTGAGTGGCAAATTATAAGTAAAGAGGTAGAATCCAGCCCCGATAACAACAACAGTATGAGAGTTTTACCCTCTTGTAGGTTATGGTGGATCCTACCTGTCAGACTGAGGCTAGGAATTTTGTCTTTTATGAGTAAGTTATACGTAGACTAACAACAAATACAAACATAATTCGATGAACAAAAAACTTGCCGCATTCTCAAACTCAACATTACTTTTTCTTTTCTTTTTTTTTTTTAGAAAATAAGAATATCGTCATTACTTAAATCAAGTCAAGCTAAGGTTCAAACTATCAAGATTAATGATAGGAGACAGTACATCAAGGCAAATACAACATTATATTCAGACAAAGAACACGCAATCCTAGTTAGTACATGAACCACAGTGTTCACTGAACGCTTAACAAAAGAGAACCTAACATTTGAAACGGTTCTCGCTACTTGTTCGATGTCATGGACAATTATACCCCAGGGAACAACAACATTATATGTAATTAGTAAAGTTTGAATTTTAAACTTCAATACAAACAACATTTAGTAGATGAGAGGAGGTGATAATTGGCTACTATTCCAAAAGTTAAAAGACATGAAGAATGGCAAGGGAGAGGGAGACGTGGTCACTCTATGCAACTCTAAAACCCTATCCACCTCCACTGATGGAAAACACCAATCTCTCTTCAAAGTACATTTTGATTATCTCCCCTACATACCTTGGAATCAATAACAACCACAAACATATATATGCACTGCACTCCCATTATTATTACATGTGATGTGTATACCAAAAAGAAAAACAAAACCAAAATTCTAGTTCTCTAAACTTGTGTGTGTGTGTGTATAAAATATACAAAACACCAAGAAATTAAAGAAAAGAGAGAGATCTGATGGCTCAAACCATGTTGCTCACTGCCAGTGCTTCTTCCCCTGCATTGGACCTCAAGAGACAATCCACTTTCCTTCAAACCCTAAAACCAAAGCCATCAATCCAACAACATTTTCTCTTGCCCCTTCCTTCTTCTTCCTCTTCTTCTTCTTCTTTTTCTTCTACAAGAATTGTTGCTCTCTTCAAGTCAAAGGCCAAAGCCGCACCAGCAAAGAAGGTCATTTGGTTTATGGGTTTTTCTTTAAATAGCGACAAAGGTTTTTCCGGATACCAAAAGTGGTCAGAAATGTGGTCGAACAAGAGTTTCTGACCGGATTTAGGCCATTTCTGACCACTTTCAGGTGGTCGGAAATTCCTTGATTTCCAATAGTGTTTTATGGTTCAACTTTTAAAATTGGTATATATGTAATTGTCATATAATGTTGAATGTATGTAATTAACATGCAGGTTGTTCAGCCCAAGCCTAAGGTGGAGGATGGCATTTTTGGTACTTCAGGAGGAATTGGGTTCACCAAGCAAAATGAGCTCTTTGTTGGTCGTGTGGCTATGATTGGTTTTGCGGTATGTCTCATTTTTTATCTTTTAATTCTTTATTGTTTTTTATACACATAAAAAGAAATTATATGTGTTTGTGTATTCATAATAAATTGAACTTCCATTTTTTATAGGAAAAAATCCCGAATCTAGCTAGAGTGCATCTTGTTATTCTATCACAAGATCTTCCATTTTTACACATATTAAACAGCCCGCCCTTCTCACAAGTCTCAATTCGTGAGACGGATCAGATTTTTTATTAATCAGTTCAAAGATCTGACCTATTATTCAAATATTTTACCCGTCTCACAGATTAAAACCCATGAGACGGTGTCACACAAGTGTTATCCTCAACCTCATAATATATATACCAATTGAGTTATGGGAGCATATATCCATTTTCAGCTTCTGTTAATTTTAGAATTCTATGAATTTTATAGTAACATAGATGATTGATTATTCAGAATTCATAATCATAATTAGACTTACTTTACAAAATGTTGCAGGCATCTTTGCTGGGGGAAGCAATAACAGGAAAGGGGATATTGTCACAACTGAACCTGGAAACTGGGATTCCAATTTATGAGGCAGAGCCTCTGTTGTTGTTCTTCATCCTTTTCAATCTGCTGGGAGCCATTGGAGCTTTGGGTGATAGGGGCAAGTTCGTCGATGACCCTGCACCTCCCACCGGACTCGACCGTGCCGTCATCCCGCCGGGCAAAAGTTTCCGTTCAGCTCTAGGACTCAGTGAAGGAGGTAATTACAGCACTTTGTTGAACATAAATAACTGATGTGCAGTAGAAGTAGTATCAGTTTAGCTTTCTCAATTTATGTGCAGTAGAAGTAGTATCAGTTTAGCTTTCTAATTGAAAAGAAACACATTATTTGACCTGTCAAAAGTAACCGATCCGGCCTCCAGGGCATCTCCAGTCAATTTAGTTAGGTTATTGTCTTGATAACTGCAATATTACAAATTTGACTCTATATAGGAGCGTAGAAATAGTCTTGACCTTTTTAGTTTGAATTAATTAACTATGTGCAACCTAAGTTGGTTTACTTCAATTCCTTGTGGTTCTTTGCTGATTAGGGTCACAATGCGGGATTACCCAGTGTACACCCTGACCCCTGGTAGTTGTCAAAAAGGGTCTTGTAAAATTGGTTAGACTATTAGACTTGATAACTACAAAATTACAAATTCGACTCCCAATAGTCAATAGGAATCGTCTTGACCATTGTCACTAGTTAATTATTTACTTCCTTGTGGTTCTTTGCCGATTAGGGTTATAAGGCGGGATTTACCCCGTGGACACCTAACACCTTGGCCCTAGTAGTGGCTAGGGTTTCGTGGTCACTCAAAAAAAAAAAAAAAATCACAAACTCCAGTCAAATTGGTCAGACTGTTGACTTGATAACTACAAGATTACAAATTCGACTACGTGTAGGAACCGTCTTGACCTTTCTGGTTTGAACTGGTTAACTATGTACAACTTATGTTAGTTTACTTTCTTATGATTCTTCGCTAAATAGAGTCACAATGCAAAATTTACTCAATGTACACACTAACTCTCTTATGTGACTACGAGTTTTGTGTCACTCAAAAAAGAAAAAGAAATAAAAAAAATAACCGGCCCTAACTTTTAGTCTTTCAAACTTTGAAGAATTGTTGATATATGTTGAGTAATGAATGGTGCAGGTCCACTGTTCGGATTCACGAAATCAAACGAGCTGTTTGTGGGGAGATTGGCACAACTGGGGATTGCATTCTCTATAATTGGAGAGATTATTACTGGGAAAGGGGCACTTGCGCAGCTCAACATCGAGACTGGTGTGCCCATTGGCGAAATCGAGCCCTTGATCTTGTTTAACGTTGCTTTCTTCTTCTTTGCAGCAATCAATCCAGGCACTGGAAAGTTTGTCACTGATGAAGAAGAAGACTAATTCTTCTTCTTTCTCTTTTTTTTTTTTTTTTTTTAAATTTCATCTTCTCTGTATTATTAGCTCATACTAAAACGGGTACAATATAATGTGCACTCCACTAAGCTCTTTCAAACTTCTTTTTTCTGTGCAAGTTACTATATATATTAGCGTACGTGAGTTCTCAGGCGGGGGGATTGGGGTTGTACATACTTCCAAGATGTATTTCATCTTATCAAATTAAATGATGTTTTTCGCATCAACTAAAAATTTAAACTGATAATATTATTACATATTATGTTTAACTTGCAGTCACAACTACCTGTATCTGTAATAACTTGCAAACTATAAAAATAAATAAATAAATAAATCGCACTAAAAAAAGAAGGGCTTAATCATAAAGGTATAATATGATAATCATGTTCTACCTAAGTACTCGAACACTCCTTTCACGGCAACCTTGATTACATGCACTTTTGGTTATATATATTGACTAAGCTACACGCGTGCTCTTAGTTAGTCTCGAAATAAGAGTACATTCCTGTGATTTAACATCTTATCCATGTGATTAGAAGGATTGTTGGCCAGAAATCAGTGAAAGAACAAGGTCCAATTTGATAAATGTTTGTTAGTTGATAGCTATTAGCTGTTAGTTGATTAAGTTAATTAGAGGGTATAACTAGTTAATAACATTAGCTGATTGTAGAAAAATGTTTGATAAATTAGTTGTTTGGTATAATTTATTTTCTAAAAAAACTAATTGAAAAAGTTGCTTTGAGCATTTTTTTGAATGTTAATTTTTAAGTTACAAAATGTTAATTAACCAAACACTTATATTAATTTTTTAACTAAGTCAAACAATTAATAGTGGTTAAATAAATTAAAATTGGCCTATAAGCTAACTATTTTACCAAATATGGCTCAAGTCTAGCACTCTGTCTCTCGAAAATGTAGCGGTATATAAGAAAATAAAGTTACGCATTTGTTGTGAGTGGTAGTTTTAGCGTAGTGGTAAGTACTTGATCTTAACAAGTGCTATCATAGAGCAGTTAAAACTAGCTGGTGCTGGGAGGGCGAAAGCAGCAGACTGGGGATTCTCTGCTTTATTCTGTCCCTAGGGATCTCTGGCATGCACCTTTTGGATCAACATCTACGTACACTTTCACCTTGGATGCTCATCGATGTTATGTTTTGTATCCAACTTGTAGATCTTGTACTTTAGTTAGCATTTGTTGTTACTGGACTAGTGAGGGAGAGTTTTAATTTCCAACAACTTTTGTCTAGGCTTTTGTTTTTTTTTTTTTTTTGGGTGTACCCAGAGTTTTTACCGTCGGATATAGTGACTAATCCCCTCGTTGAATTGTAGCACCTCTTTTGGGTATACCCAGGATTTCCAACAACTTTTGTTAGGCTTTTGTTTTTTAATAAGGTGTTCCTAAACTATACTCCATTGATGAGTTGTTGACCATTATAAGTTTTTTTTTTTTTTAAATGTCAAATAAGTCTCCTAGATAGAAGAAATAGTGCAATTAAATCCCTTAATTAGAAAAATAAAACAAGAACTCCATCAATACCTTTAAATCAGTAAAAATGTACAATTAGCTAGGTTCAAAATGACTTATTAAACGGCACTACATGTTTGCCACATTAGCGGCACCCTACTAAATAAGTCATTTTGGATCTAATTATATTACACTTTTTTTTTTAGGTTAAAGGAGTTTTTATAGAACGTTTTTCACTTATGTGATTCAATTGCACCATTCATTTTACTTAGGCTCAAGTGTCAAATCGCACCATGAACCAAATGCGATTTGTCATCCCGCACCATGACCTTTCATAAGTGATGATTTGATGCACAAATCAAAAAATTTTGTTCGCCTAGCCTATTTTACAGGTTGCCTTCAAGTTATAGGTAATAACTTGGTGATGTGGAGGTGATTTGGTAGAGATGAATTTTATTTTGTAGATGTGGCAGCCATTTCAGCAGTTTAATTGAATAACCCAAAATATGACTTTCCAGCCATTCATTCGACGATGGAAGAGGAAGGCCGGAGGAGAGGTTCCAGCCGCACCACTGCCTAGTTCTGCTACCGCCGACGACATTGTTATCCATTTTCTGTCTCCTCATCTTCTATCTTATCCATTTTTTGTTATTGTAAGATCAAGATATTCATTTCCGCTTTTATCGTAAATTATGGTTTATGCACTTTCCCCAAATTCTTTGCCTATCTTCGCTCTAAATTACCATGAATTTTCTCTCAATCTCTCGTCATTTTTCAACCTGCAAGAAACCCAATTTTGGAAACCCAACAGTGATTGGACTACTAAAAGTTAAAAGAGCTCCGGCCAGGTGAAAGCGGCCGGACTCCTCACTTGGTTCTGGGCACTGTTCCAAGAAATGGAACCAAACGCATCCTTGCCAGTCACGACCTTCTTCGACACAAAAGTAACTGTGTACCTCAACCTGTCTCCGACATTCTTAAAGAAAAGCTTCGCCGGTTTCACGGTTACCGCCACAGACGACGACGCTTCAACGGCGACTTCGTATGAGGATTTCGGAGCTTCGACGTTGGTTAGTATTCGGGTGTACCGAACAACTCTTGATTTCCCGAAGAGTACTGAGAACGAAGGGTAGTTAAGCTGGCCGGGATCGACAAATTTCTTGTCGCAGGTGATGTTTGGTCGCTTGACCACGGCCTGAATGTGCCCGACCCGTACGAATGACTACCGTAATATGAAAATTTCATCCAATGTAATAGGTTCATTGTGGACATCAGGAACTTGTCTCCCCCCCCCCCCCCCCCCCCCCCTCTCTCCCCTCCTCCCCCCATTCATCGTAATTACCTATCCACTATTATGTCGAAGCGAAATGTGAGAGTCTTGGAAACGACGACAAAAAATTTTCACTTTTGTAGGCAACGGTTATTCACATTCATAAAATGCTTTCACCTTTAAAAAATTAAAAATAAGCCGTATTGTATCACAATTACAATTTATTTTTATTTTATCTACATTTCATGTAATTCCAAACTTACTTTCAAAAGTAGTCACTACTTCAACACACCACCTTCAAGGCTTCAAAATTATTTTCTTTCCATCATTATTCTTTTCAATTCTATCAATATATAAATTACTTCTAAATATTAAAAATGATTAAAATAAAACTTTGAATTATGTAAAATCATTTCAAAAAACAAAGTTGAAAATAAAATAATTTGTATTATGTAAATATTTGAAAATTTTGTATTACATAAAATTTGAAATAAAATAACTCATATTAGGTAAGAATTTAAATTATTTAAAAATTAAAATCTATGAAAAATAGAATTAATCAAAAATTAAAAATCCAAATACATAAATTTCAACTATATCAAAAATAAAATTAAACAAAAATTATATATTCAATTATTTATGTAAAGTAAATCTAAAGAAAAATACAAACTATAAATTTTAAAATGCCAAGCAACTTGTACCCAGATTACATGTAGTGAGTCTCCCATATGGGAGGTCATGAGATCAAGCATCGGTGGAGGCATTGTTGATTTCTTGTGCTTTAATAGGTTGAGAAAATATGTTTGAACAGATACTACAATATAATAGAGTCAGTAGCATTCAAAATAAATACATATTTTTTTTGTAATTAAACATTAATTTTTTTTAATTCATATAATTTTAAATTAAATTAAATTGACCCCACTTTGCCAAATGACAAAATGAGGCCTTGCAAGCACTTCAAAACTTTAACAAGTTTTACTAACTTTCAAGTGTCAAAATCTCACATATATGCCATTAAAAAAAATATATATTAAAGTATAGAACAAATATTACCTTATAAAAAATCAGTAATATCTCGCAAGGTGCAAATGGTCAGTCGTTATATCGTGCACCAAGGCGCACAACGCATTGTGCGCCCCGTCTTATTCAAAACGACGTCGTTTTGGTGCATTGTCCAAAAAAAATTTCTGTTTCGAATACACACAAACGCATAACAGAATACACAAAAACTCATAACTGAATACACATAATCTAACATGATACATAATACACAGAAACAATTAACTGAATACATAGAAACTCTTACTGAATACACAAAAACTCTTAACTAAATACACAGAAACTCTTAACTGAATATACAAAAACTCATAACACTACACAAGAAACTTTTAACTAAATACACATAATGGAATATAAGTCGTTTGGACGGACGGAGTGACGTCAACAATTGAAACGGGAGCGTTTAATGCCTGGGCGCACATGGCATCACAAAGTTGCACCAAAGGTACGTTTGGAAACTCGGAATAAAAATAAAATTATAAAGTATACAATAGAGCAATTGATAAAATTAGTGATGAAATTGAAAAGCCAACGATTCTAAATGTAAGAAATAATTAAAATACATGTCCAAGAAAACCCTACAACTACATCAGGGGAGAAGAAACAAAACATAACATGAAATCACACCTTCCACCCCCACCCCCACCCTCACTCAAATTGTTCCCAGTGAAGAATAAAAGATCCCCACTAAACCCAAAACCCCTTATACAAAAATCCAATATTTGAGAAACAGGCCAAGCATAACTGCATTTGGAAATCTAGACAAAGGGCTTAGCAATGTGCAGGCAGACGACGAACTCCCGGAAGGACCATTTGAAGGCGGAAATGCTATAGCCGAGCCAGCTGTAGAAGGCACCACAGAAGATGTTGGCGTCCTTATTGGAGCACCACCGGCCTCGATAGGTGCAGGTGCGGGAGAAAACAATACATCAGGACCTACTGATGAAGGGGGTGCCTTGAGCGGGGGAAATTGCTGTGGCCCTGAATACATTTGGATTAAAAGCAATACACGCAAATCAGAAAATGGGGTTCTATGAAGACCATTAAGATTTTAAGCTAAAACACTAAAAACTCAAAAAGCTATTCAAAGCAGCTTTTTCGATTAGCTTTTTTAGAAAGTTATTTTGTATGTAATCAGCTATCAGCTAACAGCTAATTTACTAAACGTCTTTCTACAATCAGCAAATGATATCAACTAGTCAAACCCACTAACCCAATCAGCTAACAGTTATTTACCAAACATCACCATTGACTCCATTGAGTCATATAGATCATATAGACAAACTAAAGTTGTCAGAAAGATGGTGCAAATGACCACAAAACGCCCAATTGATAGTGGCTTTATTCCCTATTTCTATTGCATTAAGATATCAATTTGTTGATGTTTACCTGGGCATCGAGGCTGCAGAGATGAGGATAACCTGCAATGGAACAAGAAGGAAATTGCGGGTGTTAACAAGCCTACATTACTGATAATTTACCAGAGATTTCTTGTAATCAAGAAACTACTACAACTATTTATTTGAACAAACAACAAGGTTAAGAGTGTAATCCCCTAATTATAATTAGAGAAGTAAATTTTAATTAGAACTCGAGGATCAGGGTTAAAAGAATTAATCAAACGTACACAGTGACAATGGTGTTATTGACAAAGCCACCATAGTCGCACGAGGTCACATTGCATCCCCCAGAGGTCTGTTGCACCGTAACATTCCCGAGCATCATATTGCTGTTTTTGCATTGCATACTCGAACACGAAACTGCCAACGAAGCTGGCATGCAGTACAAACTGTGGAAGAACCAACAGCAATATGATAAGGCTGCAGAAAAAACTCCCGTTCGGGACAGATAACTGAAATATATTGCAAAGAAGCGCCTAACTTACTTGCGACTCCCGGGCCCACAGCTGCACTGAACACAGTGACTAGCCGTAATAGCATAACTCCCGTTCGGCACAGATAAAGCAAAATCCGAGGCGTATTTTGGAAAACTCGATGCACAAGCTGAAAATCACAATCACAAAACACCATTTTCAATCATATCCTATATACTAAAGCCAGAAATGACAAGGTAGAGAAACCCCTAACAACAAGACTTTCCATAAAAAAACAGAACTTACATTAATATATTACTTTAATCACAAATTTGAATGATTATCCAGGTTCAATAAATAAATTCCCAATTAATCCAAGTTCTCTTTAAGAAACAAATCATTGCTAAATGCTAATGTCCATTTATATCATCAGACATCCATCCATTAGATACCTAATATATGCCAAACTATCAATTTTACAATATAGTAATAGTAGATAGTAAAAGAATATGCTTTCCTTATTAATATAGGATTAGTATAACTGTGCTTTTCCTTAATTCCCTGCTATTCTAGGATTGAGTACAATCTCAGCAAATCTGTTTACAACATCAATGTAAACTCAAACATGAAACAAGAAAAGGAGAAAAAGAGAAACAATAAGGAAAGGCTTTCCACCAATAAGAGGCAAGAACAATAATGCAACTTGTTCAAGGGAGGCCCGTAAAGGCAAGTCTAGCACCTGGTGGCTAAAGGATTGTTGGCCCAAGGTGAGTAAAGGCCAAGTCTAGCACCCGTGGCCAGAGGATTGTTGGCGGAGACCGGTGGGTGAAGGTCAAGTCTAGCACGGGTGGCCAGAGGATTGTTGGGCAGAGACCGGTAAAGAGGGCTTAAAAGGCCAAATTCAACACCCAATTGTCTTGAAAATGTGTGACAATATAAGGAAATAAAGTTGCATCTTTGCTACTATGCCTACTAGCTATCCGAAAATGGGTGACAGTATAAAGAAATAAAGTTTCAAACTTTGCAACTAGATATAACTTTGGGTGACAGAACTTTGGGTGACAGTATAAAGAAATAAAGTTTCAAACTTTGCTACTAGATTTAACTTTTGGTGTAGTTATAAGCTCTAATCCTAACACAACTATATAAATAGCTGAAAAAAGAATGTGCCTAATTTACTTCACTCCAAGTGGTAATTAATGAGTTACCGGACAAGGGAATAGCAAGAATGTCGCCTTCCTTGATGGCCGGACTTCCCAGGTCATTAACAGTCATGAGGTCAGTGAGAGTGGTGGAATAGGTGGCGGCGATCCCGGCAAGAGTGTCGACGGGGGTGACAACGTAGGACATGTAAATAGCCGGGAGGTTGTTATCGGAGCCGTTGAAGCAGGTGCAGGGGAGGGGAATCCAGAGGTTGGTTCCGACATTGAGGACGGAAGGGTCGGAGCCGACGGCGTTTGGGTTTCCCTCCTTAATCTGGTCGGCCGAGACGAGGCCGGAGTAGACGGTGTCGGCGATGAAGGAGAGCGTGTCGGAGGGGCGGGTCTTGTAGTGGACGAAGGCGGATTTGAAGATCCCGTCGACGCAGGAGCAGGTGAGCGGGACCTTGAGGAAGAGGCGGGCGGGGAGGATGTGGTTCTCGACGTCCGGGACGGAAATGTCGACGGCGTTGGCCGTGAGTAGGGCGATTGGGTCGGTCTGGAACAGGGACGCCACCTCGGAGACTTTAAGGTCGGTGTAGAGAGTGTAGCCGACGAGAGAAGAGCAAGTGTCGGAGTTGGAGCAGGGTTCAATGGTGGATTTGGGGACTCCGAAAGGGATAACGGCGAGAAGGAGCAGTACCCCGATTAACAGAGGGCAGTTCCCGGCCGGAATGGGGGTTTGGGGTAGCATTTTCCGGTGAGAAAAAAGGCGAGTAGAGTGAACTCTATTCTCAAGAAAATGGTGAGAGAGAGAGAGAGGAAAGTATATTTTGAAAGAAAGGAGGCAATAAAGAGAGAGAGAGGGGTTTAGAAAAAGGACAATAGAGAGACAGATGTGTCGCATATTTGGTTGTCTGCGTGCTTTTTGGTCAGAAATATGGGTCAAGTCTGCAGGGGTAAGTTGATTTGAATGGGGATACCAATTACCAAATTCTCTGATTGTGTTAATCTCAACAAAGTATTAATTACACTATGTTTAACTAGATTGTTTTGCTTATATGTAGAGATTATATGTAGAGATGATCCTAGTTTAGTTCAAACTGACCGAAATATACAAGCTTTCAATTCTGGTTTATTAAAATCGAAAATTAGAATTGATTGAGTTTCAAACTCAAATAAAATTAATTGTATTATATTGGATGAGAAAAAAAGAAGTTTTCTCTCTCATGCTAGCAGAATCGCTCTCTGAAGACGTTGGTTCGACGGCGACCAGTCGGTCGCCGGAGGATCCAGAATCAAGTGCAAGGGCAAGATTGGCCAAAAAGACGAAAAGATCTCGAGATCAGGTAGAAACGTCAGTAACCACACCACGCGATGATAAGACTCCGTGATGAAAATGGCGTAATTGTTTGAAAACTACAAGCCGTAAGGTGAGAAGAGAAGGAAGGGAAAAGGTTGTCGTTCATTACTGACAATTGCAGAATAAATACAAGAAGAAATATTTAAGGTAAGCTACATAAAAGGTAAACCACAGGCTATATACAAGGAAAACAGAATATTAACAGCTCATGTGATCTCCAAATATGATACGTGATATTTTCTTCCATATTCATCACGCCTCCCTCAAGTTGGAGTGTGGAGGTCCGCAACACCCAACTTGCCTAGAAGAAAATGAAATCTATCATTTCCCAGCGCTTTAGTGAATAGATCAGCGAGCTGGACCTTTGTGTGTATTTTTTTCGGAGCA